AAAGACAGTTATTTGTGCTTCATTGACTATGCAAAAGCATTTGGCTGTGTGGATCACAACAAGCTATGGATAGCCTGGAGAAGAATGGGAATCCCAGAACACTTCACTGTGTTCATGTGGAACCCATGTAAGAACTAAGAGCCAGTTGTTAGAACAAAGCAAAGGAACAGTGAATGTTTAAAATCAGGAGCGGTGTGCATAGGATTGTATTCTTTTAGCATACTTCATAAAGTTGTATGGGGGCAGGCAATCCAAAAAGCTGGACTAAACTTAAAAAAAAAAAAAAAGTGTGGTGAAGAAAGCAAGATGGTGCCCGGTTATCAATCAGAATAGAGTCTGGGGTCTTAAAGACTTGTATTCAAACAAACAGCCATCTAAGTGAGGAATCGACTAAGTCCACATAGAAGCACACCAGCTTGTGTGATCCAAAGATGACAATGTCAAAATCCAAAGATGATGAAGGAAAAAGTATCAGAGCTAAAATTGTGAACACCCAATTTGTAGAAGGCTATGGAGGACAGTGGGAGCCCAAAACCTATCTGCAGTGTATGTAGTCAGAGTAAGTCACTGGCAGATCACCTCTAGTCAAAGGCAAGGGCCACCGCTTAATTATCAGACAGATATCACTGTGGACTTGATTATGCTGGATCGAATTTGATACTTTGTCAATTGACCTTCATCTTGACCCAACCCAAATTTGTTCTAGAATCTAGGCTCAAGTTTTTCTTACTTGGCCCATGAAAAAATTTTCTTCTCTGCCTTTTTAAATATTGAGGGTGATCTTTTCTTTCTTACTCATTTAAAATTTTTTTACATTATTATTATTTTTTCCTTACCACTTTATTTTGTTTCTCATGGTTTCTGTTGGGTTTCCCAGTGTGAAGCACAGAAGAAGTCGATGCAGAGAGATAATAATGGATGCAAGGGTTTATAGGGGGTGTGGGGGTGGAGGGTGGGAGGGTGAGAGGATCTGGGGTGCAAACAATGGATGTGGGAGGTGGGGAGGGAGCACCTGATTGTGATTACACAATGCATTTTTTAAAACAACAACTCTTTTCATATTCAATCATTCAACACATTGGAAAGGTAGTATGTTCCCTTTGTAGAAAATGTGAATTCAAACATTTTTCAAAGAAAGGAAAAACTTACTCTTAATCTCACAATTCAGATAAACATTGTGTGTTTAATGTATTTTTCCACATTTTTCTATGTAGATATGTTATCGAGACAACTGAGATCATAATACATATGCTATTTTATATCTGAATTTTCTACTCAATATTCCAGTATTAGCATTTTCACATCACAAATTTTCTGCATACCACTTCAGTGTCCACCTGCTATACACAACACATTTTAAAAACGATTCAACCCTGGAAGTATATCATATGTAAATACAATATCAAGAAAACCAAGAAAAAAAACTTGACCAATGGTTACCACAGGTAAAGGGGAAAGAGTCGTGGCCTAGGGGGCACTGGGTCTATGTCAATGATGGTGGAATAATTTGGAAAACAATATCAATAATGGCTGTACAACACGAAGATCATAATCAATGACATTGAATTATACAAGTAGAAGATGTGGAATTGGGGGATGTTCTATTGTGTATATTTCTGCCACAATTAGAAAAAGAATAATTACATGAATAACAATGACTACAAGGGAAGAAAAAAATGTTCTAGAATCAAACATGATGACAATTGTACAACTATTCATGATATAATTGAATTATTGAATTGTATGGCATGTAGATGAAACAGTTTTAAAAACAAGAATGAAGATAAGGGGAAAAAAGAAAAGAAAATTAGTCCCTAGGACTAATGAACCATTTGAACCATAAGAAACAACCCCCAAAGCTGGACTATATGAAGGATAGTGTGACAACAGGATTAAAGCAGGCTCATTAACAACCTGTGATCTACAGGTAGACGCCACAGCCTTGTTTGCTGAGAGCTAGGCACACTTGAAGAACTTACTGACAGAGATTAAGGGCTCTAGCCTTCAGTATGGACAACAATGAAGTATAAAGGAACCAAAATCCTCACAACTGGACAAATAGATAACATCATGATAAACAGAAAAGATTGAGGTTTTTTTTTTTAAAGCTTATCATCTTACTAGTTTTTATTCTTTTATTTTAACAGCTTTATTGACATAAAATTCACATATCATACAGTTCAATGGTTTAAACATATTTAAAAGGGTGATATAATCATCACCACAGTCAATTTTGAAACAACTTACTCATTCTCCTATTTATATTTATTAGCTCTCATCTCCCCCCAACCTTCCCTGTCATAACCCTAAGGAATCACAAATCCAGTTGCTGTCTCTATATATTTACCTATCCTGAATTTCATATAAAGAAAACATGCTAAGAAGTCCTTCCCCACCAAAAAAACTCAACAACTAATAAAACAAAGCAAGGAAAACCTCAATCCAAAAGAAAACAGAAGACAATAAAAACCAGAACAAATTTAAAATGGGTCAAAAGGGATAACAGATTATACCGTGTTAAATTTTAACCTAAATACATCTGCATTATGTACTTTCCAGTGCACTCTGTCTGATGGCAAGGCTGTTGACACCCCCAGCCAATGGTCAGAGGAGATTTCCCAGAGGCTTAATGCATGTGGGGACCCTGCAAATGGATTTTTGGCTTTCAGTGTCATCCATAGCCTTCTGCAAACTAGCTGCTCAGAATTTAAGCTCTAATGCATATCCTTCCCTATGGTCTTGGATTTTATTATTTACAATCCTTGGATCACACAGGCTGGTGTGCTTCTTCCATGTGGACTTAACTGACACCTCACTTACATGGATGCTTATTTTTAGATGTCTTTAAGACCCCAGACACTCTTCTGTATCATTGCTGGACACCAGGAAAGATTAAGGTTGTCAAAGATTTCAACTTGCTTGGATCCACAGACAATGCTTATGAAAGTAGTAGTCAAGAAATCAAAGGATATATTGCATTAGGCAAATCCTCTTTAAAGTGTTGAAGCGCAAGGATGTAATTTTGAGGATTAAAGGTATTTTAAATCTCTTCATATGCATGTGAAAATTGGGCAATGAATGAGAAAGATCACAGGAGGATTGATACATTTGAATTATGGTACTGCAAAAGAATATTGAAAATACCGTGTACTTTCAGAAGAAAACACAGGTCTGTGTTAGAAGCACAGCTAGAGTGCTTCTTGGAAGTGAGTATGCTGAGACTTTGTCTCATGTACTTCGGGCATGTTGTCAAGAATGACTGGTCCTTGGAAAAGAACATCATGTTTGGTAACATGGAAGGGCAGTGAATAAAAAGAAGACCCTGAAGGAGATGGATTATTGACACAGTAGCTGCAACAGGGGGCTCAAACATAACAGGATCGGGCAATGTTTCCTTCTGCTTTACATGGGATCACTACGAGTCAGAACCAACTTGAAGGCACCTAACAACAATAAATGATAAATCAAAATTGTCAATGATTTTACCTTGCTTGGATCCACAGTCAATGCTCAAAGCAGCAGTCAAGAAATCAAAGGACATACAGGGGTACCCCCCTGTGTTAGTCTGGGTTGACTAGAGATACAAATTCACAGACACCCATGTGTATAAGAAAGAGCTTTATATAAAAGAGCAATTGTATATTGAGAAACATCCCAGCCCAGTCCAGATCAAGTCCTTAAGTCCTTGATACCAATCAATAAATTGCTCTTCAGACTCATGCAACACGTGCAATGATGGTGAATGCAGGAAGATCACAGGCCAGGGGGTAGAAAGTCTTGTGCATCTAGTGGCAGTGGAGACATCTCAGCACTGGGAGGGGTCTCCATGTGGCTCCTCCAGCTCCAGGGCTCTAGTGTAGCTCCATGTGTCTTGTCAACAGGTATGTCTGGCAGGGAATGAGAGTGTGTTCTGCCTCCAGCGAGCTATTTATCTCCTTAGCACCTCCAAATGAGGTCATCAAGCTGCGATCTGATTGACAGGCTAATCCCCACCACTTCACTCTTAATAGTCTCAAATTGACAACAGATCCAGCAACTCACTGTGAGTTAGTGCACCCAGTGGCATCACCTGGGAAGGTTCTCTCTGGTCACAGTGAATTTTAGATATTGTTGTGTGCAAGTGAAAGTTTAAAAACAGCCTGAATAAATTGACTTCAATTTAATGATAGTGGTTGTATTAGGGGAATAGCATTCAAAGGACACTTCAATTTTATCTATAATTATTTAATCCTTTAAAAAAAGAGAAAAGGAACAAACATGGAAACCAAATATGTTAAAATATTAACAAGTAGTTATTTTTATATGGGGGAAATTAAATGTGTGTGTTTTTTTCTTGCTTCACTCTCTTCCACTTTCTCTCTGGTACACATACAAACATACGTGTATCTAGACTTATAAGATATAAACAGTCATACCTATTTACTTTTTCTCAATATAAAATTGAATAAGAAGCAGTTTCATAAACTGAGCCCAGACTAGATAAATTATTAGCCATATTGCTACATAGATGTTTAAAAATTCTAGCTAAGATTTTATAGATTAGCGTGAAAAGCAATGCTATATAATGCTTATAAGTGCATGTCAGATAGTCACACAAAGTTATATTGTTGCATAATCTGCCTATTCCTTATGTTGTTTTCACTCTAAATTTCTTCACCCTGTAAAATAACACGTGTGCACATTAAACATTTGTCTGTGATTATGCTGGAATAATGTCCAAAGGGGAGGGGAGGGAGAACCAGGAAAGCACAAAGACAATGATCATGAACCACACGGACATAGCTTTGGGGAAGACATTCTTTGGTTTCAATACTGAACTGAGCTTCCGTGCAGTGGCAGCTGATCACTTTTCAGCCAATGGGGCAGGGAGAGGAGCTTCCAGCTTCTCACAACTCTAGGAAGATTCAGCTAGTCAAGACTTAATGTTGCCTCTTTGGTACCAAATGAGTCCCATCTAGTCTTACTTGTGACTGTAGGCAACTCTGAAACATCGTGGGTCATTAAGCTGTCTCTTTGTCTCCAAGTACTTTCAAAAAGGCTCCCTTCACATCCTTGTTCCTGAGGCTGTAGATGATAGGGTTGAGGAAGGCAGAGACCACGTTGTAGAACAGGGCCAGTTTCTTGTCGCGCTCTGGGTCATACCAGGAACCAGGCCTCATGTACATCATCATGGCGGGCCCATAGAACATGGTGACCACAGTGATGTGGGAAGCACATGTGGAGAAGGATTTGAGTCGACCCTGGGATGAGCGGATTCTTAATATAGATACAAAAATGCGGACATAAGAGACCAGGATAAGGGACAGTGGGACCAGAAGAAGAATAAAGCCCAAGATGAAGTCCAGATGATCATTGAAGGATGTGTCTGCACAGGCCAACTTCAAGACAGCAGGGACCTCACAGAAGAAGTGGTTTATCTTGTGGGGGCCACAGTAAGGCAGGCGCATGGTGAAGACAGTGTAGACCAGAGCCCCAGTTATGCTGACGGACCCACACACTATGACCATTTTGATGCAAGTGGAACGGCTCATGAGCAGGACATAGTGAAGGGGAGAGCAAATAGCCACATACCTGTCATAGGCCATGATGGCATAGAGAACACACTCAGCAATGCCTAGGACCAAGAAGATGAACATCTGTGCCGCACAAGCTCCCCAGGAAATGGGTCTCCTGGGAAGCACCATGTTAACCAACATCTGGGGCACAGTTGTGGTGACGTAACTCATGTCCACTAAAGAGAGGATACCGAGGAAGAAGTACATGGGCGTGTGGAGACGTGAGTCCAGGTAGATTAGGGCCACGATGAGTCCATTTCCCAGAAGGGTGGTGAGGTAGAGGAGGAGGAAGGAGATCAACAGCGCCAGTCTCACTTGTGGCTCACTGGAGAAGCCCAGGAGAATGAACTCAGACACTTCGCTGTGGTTCTTCTTGCCAAGGCTCTGCATGCCGACTTGAGGAGTAGGGAGAGACACTTCTGGTCTCCTCTTGGCCTTGATGGAGGGAGGACCGAATTGACAGTCAGCAGCTAAGTCACATACCACGCACCTTGCACAGTAACTTGCATGGATTCCATCAAAGTTTTACTGAGCTGGGTGCAAAGGAAAATACAGTAGGGCAGCTCTGAAGCTGGGCACCAAGTCAGAAGATCTGGATTCATAGCTGTGATAAAACATGGATTCTTGACTTCCCACAGCCCCGTCCTCTGGAAACTAACTCCATCCTTGAAAGACTAGGCATATTTGTAACAGAAGACCCTAGCCATAGCTGACTTTGACCAGGGCTGCACACTTATCTCATTCTGGAAGTCTCTTTTGAGAATTTACAATGATGACACTGAAAATCTGCACCAGAGGGACATGGGAACTTGAGGTACTGTCAGTCCAGAGCGTCCACACTAACTCTGAACTGACAGTAGCTTGGTCACAACCTAAGACCAGCTGTGGGTTGAATAAAAGTGAGTAAAAGTGGAGGATTTACAGACACGAGAAAAGAGCAGACATGCTGGGAAGCAGAGGGGAGAACACTCCCAGCACCGAACAACAGAAGGATCCTGGTTCTTGGTTCTATTTCTACTTTGCCTGAGGCCCATTTGAACTTTATTTCTTGTACTGGAGTACTGTGAGGTTTTCTGTTGAATGCATAGTAATCCCACCTCACCACCACCCGTGTAGTTGAGCTATTCTAGAATGTCCTGTGATGCCACTTACCAAGCTGTCTGACTTCGGAACAGTCAGGCTCCTTGTCCACCAAATGGAAATGAAGCCTCTATAGGACAGGGTCATGGCAACGAGCGCAGCACATACTCTGTCAGGATGTCTTGCAAGATACAAAATACTGGACCAAAAAAAGTGGGATACATTGGAAACATCTGGCTCTGAATTTCTGTGTAGTCTTAGGTAACTTCTTACCCTTCTCTGAATTTTATAGCCCCAGTTTTATAATAAGGCTTTTGGATTTATGATTTCCAAAGAACCCCGTCAGTTCAGATGTTACTCGATTCCAGGAAACCAGTCTGGATTCTAGGATTATTGTATCCTTGTTATGAGCACAGCTGGGGTTGGGGGCTGGGCGGGTGCTGAGCTGAGCAATCTGTTTAGCAGCATTCTAATGGGCAGAAATACCTTCTTGGCTGCACAAGAGATCCTAGATGTTGGAGTCAGAGCCCCTAACTCCTAAGCTAGCCCCTGAGTCACATTTCGTTCATCTTTTTCCCAGCGTAGATTGTGAGAAATATACCTGGATCCATGCAAATGCTCAGTAGGTGGTAGAAACATAGACAATGGGACGAGCCGTGCAAAGAGACACGCAGAGAGAAAGTTCACTAGCATCTCCAACGTCTGAATTCCAGAGAGCCCAGCTGAGGGCGCGCTCACAAGGATGCCCGTAGCAAGATGATGGTAGAAGTCTGCAAGATGGAACAAGGGCCTGAGGCTGTACGGACGAATGATTGGTGTGTGCTGTGCTTTAAGAAAACCAATAGTTGAATGAAGAAGAAAGGCTCACAAGACGAGGGATATTTGTGCTGGGCAATTCCGCTTTGGCCATGGGGAGATGTGGACCTCTCAAGATATCCAGATTGGTGCTAAGTGCATATGGTAAACCCTGAAGCCAAGGGGATGAGGGCTGAAGGTGATCAGTGCTCACACTCTCTTTTCTGCCCATCTACACCCAGTGCTGGCCTCCCTTCCTTGTTCTCTCCACAGACTCAGTGCCGTCTGTCTTGTTCTTTCTCATAGAGCCTTACACTGGAGTTCAAGGCACTTCCTTATCTGGTTCTCACCATTTTAGGATCTATGTGAATCACCAAGAACTCGATGGGCCCTCTGAGCCATCATTCTGACATCATTCTAATTCACAACAACTCGAGGATGCTCGTCCGGACAGTTGGAAAGCTCCCAACCGCAGATCTTCTCAGTCACCGCATGCAAATCCTAACACCCTTTGCTCTGTCTGGTCCTCGGCCACCAGTTCTCCAGGACCAACTCGCGTGTTCCTTCTCCTTCTCTCTTAATGTAGTAACTGGTCTAGATTAGTTTGCTTTGTGGGAAAATGGGATGAAAAGATAATGGAATTTTTCCCTTGAACATTTCAAGGCTCCTTAGTACATTGTCTCTCCAGCCAGGCTGAAAGCACAAGTTCCCTCTCTTTTTATATCTCTCCACATTATCTAGCACAAGGACGGCACTTTTGAGCTGCTTAGCCAAGCCATTGGCTGTGACTCCTCCTGATTATGTCAGGGTTTGGGGAAAGGTTTGCAAGAGTCCATCTAGCCAGGTTATGCTGGGGATCCAAAGAGGGCTTTTGGAGTCCCCTCCCAGTGCGGTTTTTGTTTTTGTTTTTACCCCCTGATAGAAGACCAGGTTTGGCTCTACCTCCCACCAAGCTACTAAGTCGGAGGATCAGGGCTAAAACCTGGGGTCTAGCTGCTGCGCCTGGCAGGTTCTTAACACTTGCATCCTACTACCTCTTGAAAAGACGTAGGTCAAATATTCCCCCTAGAAAAATTCCATCTGCTTATCCACTCTTCTTTCGTGACCTGCCAACCTTCCCAGCGTCCACTTTTCTAGTAGGAAAGGAGAGAAAAGATGCCTGGTCAGGGAACCCACTAGGGATCCTAAGGACCCATTCTGCCTGAGGTGTGTGGGCAGGGTAGGTGGGTGGTGCTCCTGAGTCGGGCCCTGGCCATCAATGTGCAGTGGCAGCCCCCCTTCTTTTTGCTAGGAGCGAGTATTCCTTCCTCTCCTCCCCCAGACTAGTGTGGGCTTGCTTGTCTATTCTGGGAGATGCCTGAAGAAGATTACTCTCCCAGTCCCTCCCTCAGTCCAAATGCAAAGGACCAGCACCTTCAGTGGGTCTTCTGCTTGAGAAACCTCCTTCGGTCCGGTGGCAGCATCAGCCCGTTTCTCCTGGTCTCATGGCAGTGAAGTAGAAAGAAGCTCACCACCTTCTTTTTAATGCAGTGGCCCTGGAGAGAAGGAATTCCAGCTCACAGACCCACGGGTCCTCTCCCTACTGGAATTAAGGGTGATGAGTGGATTTCCAAACCCTGCAAAGCCCAGGGGATTCCCTGTCCATGCTGGTAAATGTAGCACAGAATTCTTGGGTCAGATGAGAATACATAGTTCCCCAAGACATTTTAAACTCGGTCCCTGGGTTGGTGATCTAGGCATGCTTTGGGGGTTTCCATTTGGGGATACAATTTGTTCCCACTGACCCTTGGGGGAGGAGGAAGGGATCTTGTGGCGGAGCTGCCACATCTCTGGCTGACATTGCAGTGATGTGAGTAAGAAAGGCTTTGTCTCCCTCCAGAGCACATCTGTGTCGATTATATCTTCACGCATCTTATCCAAGACCATATGCCCAATGGAGATAAAACTGAGACCCCCCAATACAAAACAAAACAAAACAAAAATACAGGTAGATTTAAAAAGCAAAACAAAAATAATCCATCAAGTCAATTTTTATTCACAACGACCCCATGGACAGGGCAGAACTGCCCCATAGGATTTTTAAGGCTGACGTCTTTACATAAGCAGGCGGCCACATGCCTGTCCTCCAGGGCCAGGTGTGTTTAAGGGGCTCACTTTCGGGTTAGCAGGGAAGCACTTTAACCACTGTGCCACCAGGGGTCCTCATAGGTAAAACAAATTCTAATACTTAGTGGTGACTACCATTCATTGAATATCGACTATACTTATCCTGAGTATCTACCAAAAGGTAACATATCTCATTGTGGTATAAAGGCTATCTAACGTATTAGTATAGTGGTAACTACCTACTCAGGAGCCCTGCTGTGGGTTAGGCTGATAACCAGAAAGTTGGGAGTTCAAATCCACAAGCCATTCAATGGGAGAAGGATGAAGCTGTCTGTTCCTTTAAAGCAGCGGCTCTCAACCTGTGGGTCGTGACCCCTTTGGGGGTTGAATGACCCTTTCACAGGGGTCACCCGATTCATAACAGTAGCAAAATCACAGTTATGAGTAGCACCGAAAATAATTTTATGGTTAGGGGGTCACCACAACATGAGGAACTCTATTAAAGGGTCACGGCTTTAGGAAGGTTGAGAACCACTGCTCTAAAGATTTACAGTCCACTTGGCTTGTCAACAGGAAGGTAAAGGAGAGAGTGTGCCCCACCTCCAGGGAGACAGAGAGGAAGTTCCCCAATCCTCATGAGAAGGCCGCACCCACAAGCAGGCATCATCTGGCTGTGACCTGATTGACAGGTTAGACTCCACCCCTACATATATCAAGTTGACCTGAGTTATGTAACTACTACACATTTGAAAAGAAGTTACAAATAATATTTGAGTAGATGATAAAATATAAGTTTTTACAAATGGCAAAATACTAAAACTATCAAGAGTTGCCTGTAGAAAATAGAAAACACACTGACAGTGGTTGGAATATACAGGAACTTTTTTATATAGCCAGAAGTGATGCGGAAGCAGCTACTCACATCATTCGTTCACAGTTCAATCGTGTGAGTGAGGGAAACTCTCCGTTCTTGTGCTCATTGTTCGTCCAACTCCAGGCATCGCTTCTGTATTAGCGGTGAGAAGGGGCTTGGGGAACAGGGCTGTTAGTCACTGTATTTCTTGTGTTAGAAAAGCAAATATTTTCGTAGGACTTTTTCAGCTAACTTCCTCTTAAATCCCACTGGGCAAGAACAGGTTTCGTAGTTCTCTCGTACAAAACTCTGGGAAAGGGTGTCTTTTAGAGCGTGGACCTCTCACGATGCATTGAATGGCTCCTCCCCCCGTCCCCCCCGCAAACATTACTAGCACGAACACGGTTTTATCTTCAAAAAGTGGGAATTGGATCGTCACCAGTGCATATCTGCCACAATGAACTGGTATGTAAAGTGTGATGCTGACTGGGTGAGGGAAAAACACTACCACTTCGGAAAAATAAATAGATAAAATGGAGAGAAACCTCTGGCGTCA